AACGTGCTATGTATAATCACCTGAAATGTCGTGTACAGAAAGTAGACTCACAGATTGTGCAAAAAAAAAATGGAAAGAAAAAAATTTTACCAACTTCCTCGCACAATAAACAATCATGTTTTTATTCCTCTGTACTTGGTATAGACCATAGGTAACACTCCATGATATTTGTCGAGTGGCTCTTTAAAATGAGATAGTGAGCCAGAGTCTTGGTTCAGCGTCACCCTCTTGCTAGCTTATCCTCGCCCTACCATCCCCACCACCAGGAGCACACAAGCTAACCCCATTTCTTCACTCACTATGTTCCTCTGCCACACTACTCTACTGCTCTTCTCCCCATCTTGTGTAGACACTCGACTGCTTCGGGGCACATGAGGGGATCTCAAAGAGCAATATCAAGTTGGCGTGGCAGGTAGGCTCAGCGCCTCTGTAATCCCTCATCTCTCGCGCCCTGCTCGTGGGTAGTGCCTGACGAGGATTAGACTCGACCACGTGACTAGTCGAGAGTATCGTCCACCAGAGCCTGAGCCAAGTGAGTAGACTCAGACCAGAGATGATCTACCTACATATAGACAAAGTTCAGCAATGTGAAAATAAACATCCGCAAGCTCAAGCATTTCACAATGTGTGTGCCTGTAAAGCTCCTTGTAATATAGAGACAGCAAAATGGTTCAGGGCTTCACTTTGCAGGACCAGGACGTGTCGCTGGTCAGATCCATCGTGTTAAGAGAATGAGCGCATACCTAAGAGCTGAGTTATAATTTTAAGACGCTGTAAATCCGAGCTACTAGGGATTATTTGGGCTGATCATGGCTCTGCAGGCTGAGAGCATAGATCGCGTTGACCAACAGTGAAGTTTGGACTGTGCATGTGACTGGTCGCTGACACCACAGCCCGGTTGCCTTGCCACTTCAACTGGCGAGATGCACAGAGGTGAGAACTAGCTGGCTACTAGCAGTAGTGCAGAAGAATTAACACAAAATAAAGGACAAGAAATACATCTTTAGTCTTTTATTGAGCACAAACCTTCATAATGATAGCTAGGAGATCTATTCGCGTACAATATGAGGATTTTGAGTGGTTCTGAGGCAGTGACCCCAGGCTTTCGTTAAGTTATCATACTGTGTCTTCGTTAGCTCTAAAGGAAACTAACAGAGGAGAATTTTAGCTAGTAAAAGAATGAATTGGGTATTAAGGTTAATGTGGTGAGGAATAATGAAGATCATGCATGCACAATCTATTAAACAACTGCAAACGGACATGTAACCAAGCTGCTCCTGAGGTGATGCATAATAGTACCCCTGTGTACTTCTTGACCCAATTAGTGGAGCAGCAGCTGCCCCCACCTATGGACGCCTCGTCCCAATTGATCAGCTTGATCCCTGTTGGATATCAATAATACAATCTGAACTCCAACATCCTGGCTAAGTCGTTTCGTTGGAATTTCTGTGACGTTGGATTATTCAAAGACAAAATGTTCCAACGCGTCTGTAACTGTAGCACTGTTCTTTGTGGACATTGCCCAGAGAATTAGTGTCTGATCACCTTCGGCCGAAAATCAATTTCTAGTAACCGCATAGGGATCGGCCATATATTTGAGTTGAATGTTCGGATGAGTCTAGTCTCGCGCTCTACTCCATCAGGTCTGTGTCCACTGGAAATTCCACTGACTTTCAAAGTTCGAATTTGGATACAATTCTATCAATCCAATATCCTACCTATATCCAACACAGGATAATGAGACGAAATGGCTTGATTTTTGTCTTTATCAGGGTTTGGGATGGTACTCACTGCTTAATAGGGTTGAGAGAAAATATGTAAATATTATTCTGGTTAGATTCAGTCTGATTCAAAAAGCAGAGAGGCTACTCGACATTACTTTATTACCTCACTTCCTTGCATTAAGCCAGAGATATGGTAAACTGGAAAAGGTACTTTGTCTGTATTGGTTTTTTAAGACGCAAGATAGGTGACCATCTGTAGTATCCCTTTAGAGCTTCTATGGCTGAGTCATTCTGCCTGCAGCCTGGAGGGTCCTGCGCAGCAGAGTACTCTTCATATCTCAGCAAACGATAGCCCAGGAGTTTGAGGTTGCTGTGAGCTAGGCTGACGCCACGGCACTCACTCTAGCCTGGGCAACAAAGTGAGACTGTCTCAAAAAAAAAAAATAAAAAATAAAAAATAAAGCCACAATGAATTATCACTACACACCTATCAGAATACTGCAAATATGGGTGAGGATGCAGAAAAACCAGAGCACACACACTGCTGGTAGGAATGTGAAGTGAGAAGACCACTCCAGAAAATAGTTTGACAGTTTCTTAAAATATTAAATATGCAACTACCATACCACCCAGTGATTGCATTCCTGGGCATTTATCCGAGAAAACAGAAAACTTATGTTCACACAAAAATCCCTGAATATAATGTGTTTAGCAGCTTTATTCATAATAGCTCCAAACTGAAGCTATTATTTGAAGTTCTAAACTGAAGCTAAACAACCCAGACATCCTTCAATAAGAGAATGGTTAAACAAACTGAGGTACATCCATACAATGCAATATCACTCAGTACATACTACTGATACATACAACAATCTGGATGAATCTCCAGAGAATTATGCTGATTAAAAAAATACTAAATATTAATATATACTATATAATTTCATTAATGTAACATTCATGAAATGACAAAATTATAGAGATGGGAGAACAGATTACTGGCTGCCAGTGGTTCTGGAAGGGGTGGGGATGACACAGAAGAAAGTATGGCTGTAGAAAGGCAACATGAGGGATCACTGTGGTGAGGGAAATGTTCTGTATCTTTATTGCATCAATGTCAATTTTATAGGCATGAGTCAACGTGCACAGCCAGTGATACAGTCTTTACTCCATTCATTGGTTCTACTGTTTAATTCTAGTGACTAGGCCAGGCAAGGTGGCTCATGCTTGTAACCCTAGCACTCTGGGAGGCTGAGGCAGGAGGATCACTCAAGGTCAGGAGTTCAAAACCAGCCTGAGCAAGAGCGAGACCCCGTCTCTACTATAAATTAGTTTACATGGTTACGCTAAGGAATGCAACTATTATTCGATAAGTAATTTTTTTTTTTTCGAGCAGGATCTCGCTTTGTTTTCCTCAGGTTAGACCTGAGTGCGTGAATCAGGACTGAGCTCCTAAGCAACTCAAACTGCCTTGTGCTCGCATGCAATTCTCCTCGCGTTCAGCTCGCCGAGTAGCTGGGACTACAGGCATGCGCCACATGCCCGGCTAATCTTTTTCTTATATATTGTTGGCCAATTAATTTCTTTCTAGTATTATAGTCAGGCGAGCGGGTTCTCGCTTTTTTTTCCTGCTCAGTTGGTTCGACTTCCTAAACTCAAACACTTCTGTCCAGCTCGCCTTCAGAGAGCTAGGGATTGTACAGCGTGAGGCCACCCGCGCCCGGCCGAATAAGTTAAAATTTTAACAGTATTAGTGCTTTTAAATAAATACACATGCATGTTTCTAGTAATTGTATTGCCTGAATTAAATAATATCTTTGACTTCATCTTTATTACTAATCTACATTTTTTTCCCAGAAGGGAGAGTCAAAGAAAGAAAAGAAAAATGCAGGAGGATGCCAAAGTTTTGTTGGTTAGAAGCCAAGAAACAGCCGGAAAAGATACTAAGCGAAATATTTATAAACTAGAAACTCAGAGTCACAAATGAAAAGACACTTGTTATATATGGTTTTTCTAGTTGTGCTAATGTTCACCTTTCGTTACTCAAGAATTTTTTATTGTGTCTGAATCTACTTCTTCCTTTTCATTTCAACCATTACATACTAAAATACCACTGAGTAATTTAAATTCTTACTTTTGGCTGGCACTTTGTTAATATGGATTATTTTAATGAAGTAACATGTTGTTTCCAATGGAGTTTAATTTTTAAAGTTCTGATTTTTTTTAAATATTGATGTCTCATGTGTCTTATCTTTACAGATTCTTAGCATTTTACCCATCTTTTCACATGTTCACAGTAGCGCTTAGAAGAATGTTTGCTTTATCGATAGTTTTTACCTGGAAGAGAGTTATTTCACCTGCTTCTTCCTTTCTTTTTTTTCTTTTAGGATCTCTCGTTGGAACGACTCGGCTCCTTTCTCTTTTCTTTATATACAGTCGGAAACTGCATGTTAAAAGCAAAATATACAGTGAACCTAATGGTTGCTTAGAGTTTCCGCAGCTCTCGAGTCATAAAGTTTAATCATTACAACCAATTTCAGTACACTTGCGTTCAGTGTATTATCCTCTTTCGTATTTAATGATTATTGTAAGCAATATACTGATGAAAATAATTTACAAATAACAATATGTGGACTTTCTTTGCTTATGTGTCTATGAGTAAGACTCGCCTCTTCTTCTTATGTCTTTTATCCACGTCGCTTTAGGACATTAGAGAGCTGTACAACTCAGTGTTTATACATACTCATGGATCCTTAATTTGAAGTATATTGTTGAGCTATTGCAAAATACGATTAATAAGTACAAGGCATCATTACAGTCTAAACAAAGAACTGATCATCTCAAGGAGGTATATAACAGTTCACCAAAATAAACGTAAAAAGATAATTCCGATTGACAATATGCAAAAGAAGACAAACTAGACATTTTACGCAAAGAAGAGCGTATTAAGATGCAATAGTAGCTCAGGGGAAGATGTTCAAACTTATTACTAGGTATAATTGCCGAATTAAAAACCAAATTGACTGGCAGGTAAGGGCCTCAAGCTGTTATTTCTTAGCCCTATACGGTAGCAGAGGCCAGATATCACGCGTCTGAGCGCGACGGCGAGACACAGTGTCTTACTATGAATAGACGAGAAATATGGACCAACTATAGTAGTATATTAGAAAAAGTTAGGCCAAGGGTGTGGTGAGCCCAGCTATTGGAGGCTGGGCAGGAAGATTTGCTTGAGGCCAGAGTTGAGTGGCTTGGAGCTGGCTTGAGCCCACGGCGCTGTCACTCTGTGCTTATGGTCTTCGAGGAAAAAGCTTTTTCCTGTTTTGGACGGGCTTTAGAGGTATTTACTGGAAGCTCTTCTTTAGTTTCTTTTTCTAATTCTTCTGTGTCCTACAGAGAAAAGTATTCTATCAGATTACATAAAGCATTCGTTCTCTACTAATTAAAATCTATTTTGCTTGTTGTCTAGAAAATATCCCAAGAAAATAATTTTAATTCAGAAACTGTCCCAACAACTCCAACTATGAATTAAACAACATACATACATACATATCCCCAAATGATAACAATTCTAATTTAATAAACAGAATAAACAAAGTCATATATATATATATATATTTCCCCCCCCCCCCCAAGACAGAGCCTTGCTCTGTTGCCCTGGCCAGAGTTCAGTGGCATGATCATAACTCATTACAACCTCAAACTCCTGGGCTCATGGGATCCTCCTGCCTCAGCCTCCCTCAGTAGCTGCTATTACGGGCACATGCCACCATGGCTGGCTAATTTTTGTATTTTTCTGTAGACAGGATCTTGCTCTTGCTCAGGCTGGTTTTGAACTCCTGACCTCAAGTGATCCTCCTGCCTCGGCCTCTCAGAGTGCTAGGATTATAGGTGTGAGCCACTGTGCCCAGCCTAAACTAGTATATTTTTGATTAAAAATAAAAAATACACAGTGAACCAGTTGATATTTGAACTAAGACTTTACAATGACTTCAAGAAAGAAAATGTTTACACATAAGTGAATTTTCTAGATAAATTAAACTTACATAGGAGGAAGGAAATAGAGATTTCCAATTTTGGCTATGCCACAGTCTAGCTATATAATCTCAGGACAAATCACTTGGTTTCCCTGAGCCTGTTTCCTCAACTGTAATATAAAATTTGCCCAGATGATTTCTAAAGTCCTATCCAAGTTTTAACATTTCTATCCTTTAGTCTCTCAGACTTTTAAAAAATTTCTACAAAGTAATTCTAGAGCACATTATACAGTTAGGTATGTGAAATAAGTATGAACTGGAACATCACTGTGAATTGTATTGTTCTTTAGTAAACACATCCATATAAATAGCAGTTGTTCTTTTTAACAACTGGCTAAGAGGATCTTAAAAGTTTTCTTCCAACACTGATATTCTATGGAACTTTTTCAGGATAGCAGGATAGTAAATTTTGAATTTAGATAGTAATTCAAAATTTTGCTGTGAATTTAAGCTGAGCCAGGTAGCTTTGGAAATATGTGAGGTTTTAAATCTTACAAAGTTAATCAGAAGATAAGAGTTTATTTCCATTTGAAATTGAACTCTAATAATAAAGGACAGCACCAGCCACATACCAATAGCTAAAAAAAGCTTTACTAAAAAAAAGAACAAATTCCAAAATATAACTTTTTATGAATAGGATATATGTGCTATGTACTCTGCATAGAACTTCAAGGATATCTAATTTAACTCTTAAAACAACTGACAATTAAGTAACTTATGCAAGGTAAAAAAAAAAGTAAATGGTCGATTTTGAATACAGATCTGAATCTAAACCCAGAATACATATTTACTATATTTTAAAAAACAAATCGGTCATTTTAGAAAGGATTTAGAATACCAAATGAACTTTCACAAATTAATGACCTTTGCCAGTAGATTGAACATTTCAAAATAGATCTGTCCCACAAAATTTCTTTTACAAGGAACTCAACTAATTTGCAATCCAGAAAAACAGTATTAGTAAAGACCATAATTTAAGTCACAGAAATTCAAGAAAGACTTAGCCAGAATGGAGTTCAGATAGTATTATTTACAAAGGATAGCTGTCAATAACATTCTCATCAGCCTGCTCCAACTAACAAGAAAAGTACAACTATTATATAGTTTTAGTTGTTCATATCTATTAATCTCAGCCACATTAACCTTAATACCCATTCATTTTTACTAGTATTTTATACAGACAAAAATTACTATTACTCATAGAAAAAAATCCTCATATTGATAATAGATTGGTATCATTTATGAAGGTTTGTGCTCAATAAAAAAGAACTAAAGATGTATTTTCTTTCTTTTTTTTTAATTTTTTTTTAGCCAGAGTCTCACTTTGTTGCCCAGGCTAGCGTGAGTGCTGTGGTGTCAGTCTGGCTCACAGCAACCTCAAACTCCTGTGCTCAAGCGATCCTCCTGCCTCAGCCTCCCTAGTAGCTGGGACTATAGGCATGCGCTACCATGCCCGGCTAATTTTTTCTATATATATTAGTTGGCCAATTAATTTCTTTGTATTTATAGTAGAGACAAGGTCTTGCTCTTGGCTCAGGCTGGTTTCGAACTCCTGACCTTGAGCAATCTGTCCCGCCTCAGCCTCCCAGAGTGCTGGGATTACAGGCGTGAGCCACTGGGCCCGGCCAATGTATTTTCTTAGAATGTCATGTAGGAAGTTCTTCTAAATAGAACAAGTAGGAAAAATACTGTGGGGGTTATCTCTAGAAATTTTTGTTACCCTCCTACATTTAAAGGAATGAAAATAATTAGTTACATGGTTACAGTAAGGAATACAACTATTATTCGATAAGTAATTTTTTTTTTTTCGAGCAGGATCTCGCTTTGTTTTCCTCAGGTTAGACCTGAGTGCGTGAATCAGGACTGAGCTCCTAAGCAACTCAAACTGCCTTGTGCTCGCATGCAATTCTCCTCGCGTTCAGCTCGCCGAGTACTGGACTACAAGCATCGCCACGCATGCCCGGCTAATTTGTATATATTATTGGCCAATTAATTTCTTTCGGTATTATATCAAGACGGGTCTCGCTTTTCCTGCTCAGTTTGGTTCGAACTTCCACAACCAAACACTGATCGTCCAGCTCGCCTCCAGAGAGCTAGGGATTACAGCGTGAGCCACCGCGCCCGGCCAATAAGTTAAAATTTTAACAGTATTAGTGCTTTTAAATAAATACATGCATGTTCCTAGTAATTGTATGCCTGAATTAATAATATCTTTGACTTCATCTTTATTACAATCTACATATTTTTTCCCAGAAGGAGAGATCAAAGAAATGAAAAGAAAATGCAGGATGATGCACAAAGTTTTGTTGGTTAGAAGCAACAACAGCGGAAAAGATAACTAAGCGAAATATTAATAAACTAGCAAACTCAGAGTCACATGAAAGACACTTGTTATGCATATGGTTTTCTAGTTGTGCTAAATGTTCACCTTTCAGTTACTCAAAGAATTTTTTATGTGTTGAATATACATTCTTCTTTTCATTTCAACCATACATACAAAATACCACTGAGTAATTTGAATCTTACTATTTTGGCTAGCACTTTTAATATGATTATTTAATGAATAACATTTGTTTCAATGATGTTTAATTTTAAAAAGTTCTGATTTTTCAAATAATGCTGATGTCTCATGTGGTCTTATCTTTTACAGATTCTTAGCATTTGTACCCATATCTTTTCACATGTTTCACAGTAGCGCTTAGAAGAATGTTTGTGTTATCGTAGTTTTACCTGGTAAGAGAGTTATTCTCACCTTGCTTCTTCCTTTCTTTTTTTTCTTTTAGATCTCTCCTGTTGGAACGACTCGGCTCCTTTCTCTTTTCTTTATATACAGTCGGAAACTGCATGTTAAAAGCAAAATATACAGTGAACCTAATGGTTGCTTAGAGTTTCCGCAGCTCTCGAGTCATAAAGTTTAATCATTACAACCAATTTCAGTACACTTGCGTTCAGTGTATTATCCTCTTTCGTATTTAATGATTATTGTAAGCAATATACTGATGAAAATAATTTACAAATAACAATATGTGGACTTTCTTTGCTTATGTGTCTATGAGTAAGACTCGCCTCTTCTTCTTATGTCTTTTATCCACGTCGCTTTAGGACATTAGAGAGCTGTACAACTCAGTGTTTATACATACTCATGGATCCTTAATTTGAAGTATATTGTTGAGCTATTGCAAAATACGATTAATAAGTACAAGGCATCATTACAGTCTAAACAAAGAACTGATCATCTCAAGGAGGTATATAACAGTTCACCAAAATAAACGTAAAAAGATAATTCCGATTGACAATATGCAAAAGAAGACAAACTAGACATTTTACGCAAAGAAGAGCGTATTAAGATGCAATAGTAGCTCAGGGGAAGATGTTCAAACTTATTACTAGGTATAATTGCCGAATTAAAAACCAAATTGACTGGCAGGTAAGGGCCTCAAGCTGTTATTTCTTAGCCCTATACGGTAGCAGAGGCCAGATATCACGCGTCTGAGCGCGACGGCGAGACACAGTGTCTTACTATGAATAGACGAGAAATATGGACCAACTATAGTAGTATATTAGAAAAAGTTAGGCCAAGGGTGTGGTGAGCCCAGCTATTGGAGGCTGGGCAGGAAGATTTGCTTGAGGCCAGAGTTGAGTGGCTTGGAGCTGGCTTGAGCCCACGGCGCTGTCACTCTTAGCCTGGCAAAGTGCAGGATGTCGTCAAAAAAAAAAAAAAGAAAAAAAAATATATAGAAAATACTACCTAGGCCACAATGTTTATCACCTCACAACCTATTCAGATATACTTGCAGATTATGGGGTGAGATGCAGAAAACAAGAGCTCACACACTGTCTCGGTACCGACGACATATGTGAGTGTAGAGAAAGGAACACTCCAGAAATCGTTTGGCATATTTACTTAAAATGATGCTAAATATGCAACTACCGGATACCACCGGTGATTGCCATTCCCTGGGGATTTCCGAGAGACGCAAAAGGGTAAAGCTTATGTTCACACAAAACGTCGGCGCTGAAATAATAAATGTTTTAGCAGCTTATGATTCGCACTGTCGCATCAAAATGCATCTATTATTTGAGTTTCGTATATATTATCGTAGTAATGCAAACCAGGAATCTCAAGTAAGGAATGATAGAAATAAAACTAGATCCATACAAATGCAAAACTCACTGCATATCTATAGATTATATACTATGATACTGACAACAGTCTGGATGACTCGAGAATATGCTGATAAACAAAATACTAAGTATTCGTAATAGCTGTAAGAATACCCACGTATGATTCCATAAGTAACATTCATGAGATGGACAAAAAATTATAGAAGATGGAGAACAGATTACTGGCTG